TATTGATGTTGTCCTCATCCAAAACTATTAGGATGAATTAAATATGAGATCAAGCCCATTTGGCCATTAGAGACATGCCACCAGCACCCAAAAGTACAGCAATAAAAGCCTTGATTTGTAACTTGATGCTACCTTGTAATTTGTCACCCATAAAATCAGCAGCAAGAAGATCCACCAAAGCCATATAAATCATAAGGCCAGCAGACGATGCATTCAATAAGCCCACAGTTATTAAAGCACGAGGGCTATTTTCTTGATAAGTATTTGATAGTGCAATTCCAAGTGCTATACCAAATGGAGTTGTTACTGAAAAGAAAAATGCCATTGCTGCCTTTTTCAACATTTTGTACTCTGCCTATATATTGGGGAAAAATTCAAGACTCTTTCATGGACCTTATAACAAACTTTACTTTATTTCACTAAAGTCATTTAATCATTCAATTTTATGTAACATCAACTACTGTCTTTATTATCCAACTTCATTCAATTATTGATCCTATTTTTTGGTAACGTGATTTAATTGGTTACTACTCTACTACCATTTTTTTTTGTCTTTATAATTAATATCTCTTTCGATTTATTAAGAAAATTACCTGAAGAATGCAGCCACCAAGTCCCATTCCTTCAAACATTTGATGAAAGCAAAGTGCAGCAACAAGTCCTTTTATTGTGCATGTATTGTTTGAAGATCCAAGTGAAATCCCTATTACTATTGAGTGAACTATAATACCAAGTTCTAATACCTGCCAATAAATAAATAAGAATTCCATGATGTACCTATCACTTCGATTTAATCGATTGTAGTTATAATTTTTTCGGGTTACAATATTAATTTGCAATAAAGAGTTATATGTTATTGTAGGCCAACTTAACTTGCTGATTGAAAAAATAATACACTATTAATACACAAAACTTAACAATAAAACTATTGTGTTTTGTCGGGGTATAGGGATTAATAATTTATGATTGCGAAATTATAAGAATACTAATGGGATAAATTTGTCAACATTTGCAGCTCCTCCTCTCTAAGTAAATACTGTATGTAGTAAATAAGTAAGCATCAATCTATTATTATTATTATTATTTTAAAAAGTATCATAGATAAATGATCAAAATGATTTTTTTAGTAAAAAAAAACAATTGAAAACTATTGTCCTAATTAATGTGGGATTGTTGGTTTGGATACTCAAACAATTTAATTTGACGGTAAATTCAAGCATGAAATCTTTAAGCTTTTTAAAATAAAATCTTATATATTTAAAAACTACGTAAAAAAATACTATAAATCACAATAATTAATGTTTCACACCATTTTTAAAAATATGAAAAGACTAGTATCAGAAAACTTGTTTGAATTAGCATTTTAGGCAACATAAGCACATGGACCACCATTTCAAAAATAGGTTTTTAGCTAATTTAGTAATGTTTGGAGCAACAACGTAACCTAGCTAAAATTCGGTAAAAATGTCATTATTATTTGTTGTTGACAAGAAAAAGACATGCATGTGCACTCTGGCTACAAATTTTGGATCTATCTATGAATGGTATATATAGCAGTCAACAGGAATCTATTCTTCAGATTATGAACCATTTATGTTAAGCACTCTCCATGTGCAAATAACATATAATTCCATCAATACATTAATAATTCAAACAATGTCACATAAATTAAGCAGGTTAAGTAAATGATAGACTAACCATGGCAATGACTCGATAACGAAGTAGTTTCGTTCCATCTTTCGAAAGGGAACCATGGTGATGAGAATGGAAATGCACATTATTATTCACCATGCCCAATTCTTGATCACCAGTACCATTAATAATATTATGTACTCCATTTTGTACTTGTTCTGGATTAATTACACGAGCATTATTGTGCTTTTTGCTGTACAAACTAGTTGCCATAGAGTCGATAGCCAACGTAACTATAGCTGATAACATAGCAACAAATCCAGTAAAAGGAAACTTATGCCAAGGATTTTCCTTCAGACAATTAGACAACAACATTTCAAATGAATCTGGTAACACGTGCATGAAACCGGTTCCTAGTATAATTCCAGCAGCAAATGCCTTAACGATAACGAAAACGTTACGGTCAGGGCTTAACGCTGAAATTGAACGTGTAACGAGAGGCAAACATACTCCGATCATGCTAGTGATTAATATCGAAAGTATAGCTATGATTTTTAAGGTTAATGCTTTGGATTTGTTGTTGCATGTGTTATGTGTTTGTGATTCACACGATGAGTAGTCACCTTGTGAGGAAGTTTGAGGTGTGAAAATGGAAATGAGGATGAAGAAGATAAAGATAATCTTGGAATTAGAAGAAGCCATTGATGTATTTTTAATTTCTTCTTGGTTTTGGTGAATATTTATTTTTGCTTTGGTTTGAGGTGTGTGAGTTGTGATATCAGGGAGATACTATATAGGCATAGAATTAATTTGGTGATATATCGATCGATCATGTGCATGGATAAAAATAATATAGTAAGGTCTTAAATGCTAAGCTGACATGTTGGTGTAACAGTTTTATTTTACTTGTTTTAGATTTATTGAATTTTATCAGATTTCTTGATAATCAATTCAAAATTGATTAAATGGCAGGCCAAATTGTTGATTTAATTCCTCATATAGTATATACATTGTAAGGCTGTTAAGTGCCTATTTTATTGCAAAAACAGGTAAATGTCAAATCTCGAGAACTACAAAATGAAAGTAAATGCAGCAGTATCAAAAGTTTTAATTGAATGGTAGCATGAAACTTTCATACCCTTGTGTTGGTGGGGGATGGGGGAGGAGAGATAGAAAATTAAGGAGAGAAGTATTGAAAACACCCATTAACTCGGCGTAAATTGTTGGTTTCATTCTCAAACTATTGACATCTTTAAAGGTACACCCTTTTTACATGAGTGAAATATCCTAATTTCTCACCAAGTTTATGATGTTTTCGACACTTCTCTCACCTTTGTGTAAACTTGGTGTTTTCGACACTTCTCTCGGCTTTGTGTTAACAGTTTCATGCTTTTACAAGAGTTTGACATCACTTACTATGTCATGTTGTAGATCGAAGGTGTACCTAAATTTAGTTAGTCAAGTAGAGGATTGTTTTTAAGAAAGTCAATAGTTCGAAGACAAATTAAAACTAATAATTTACAACTAGTTTTTTCAATACTTCTCTCAAAATTAAAACATGTTTGTAGCAAGAAACGGAAGTGAATGCTCAAAAATATAGGTGCATGAATCTGACGCACAAATTTTTGAAGACACGCTCTCTTTTATCAACTTATATGCAATTGTATAGAAGAAAAGTATCCTACAAAATTTCTCATGTGTTTCAGTTACAAGTATTATGTGTCATCTTTTACTGATTTCAGGTGTAAAGAATCATATACTAACTAAAATAATGCTATTGGAATTGAATAAGAGTGCAATACATATGCCAAGGTCCAACAAGAACGATGTCTCGGGAAATGGGATCTGATTTCAAACAAATTATCTGAAGCCAATTTAACCAGCTCTGTATTTCCATAAAGACTCTGTAAGCAACAATATGGGCATCCCAGAGAGAAGCATCTGGACAAACGACATGCTTGTAAGGCCCTAGAAAACAGTACCATCATGCAGCTAAACTGCTTTAGTGTAGGCTTAATAACAAACTCCTCCGTTGCGCAGAAATACTTGCATGATCACCTTCTTCAACTAATCCTTAATGGCCTGCAATTCACAGTGGAGAACGAAAACATGTATTTCCAGCATATCCTTAAATAGTTGCAGAGATATCATACTGTTCCCATGGATACCATGACAATGATCGTCCAGCCTCTTGCATGTTTTTTCATAGATGTCGATGAGGAAGGTGCAAATAAAGACAGACAGATGAAGAACAACCTCGAACACATGCCCATGAGTCACCTCGATCACTCTTCTTGCAATGCGCCTAAATGGCACGTGCTGGTAAGATGATCATCCTAGGTCCTCGGATTGGTGCAAATGCATCATGGCCATTCGTCACTGTCATATACTTCAATAACCTCTCTTGCAAGGCCATTTTCAGCATTACTTGTGGTCACTCTGTTCCACAAAACTACATCCTTAACATGGATCTCTCATGAGTGCAATCACTAAAACCCAAGTTAGAATGCGTATCAACCATGGCATTCCACCAAAGTAATGTCTTCCGGAATCAACATTTCCTCAAGTATATAAATCAATGAAAAGAACAGCTCAGAGGAATTTTATGGTTCAAGCAATACTAGAGGCGTAAAAGCTCACTACAGGAGCAGGTCAGGTTGAATGTCCTTTAACGTCATCTCCTGAAAGTACTTAAGGGATTTATCTGGCATATCAAAGAGTTCCATGATATTAAATCCTTACAAGTTACAACCATAGCATCAGATACTATTTCTGCAAGTCAAAATTGGCAACATATTTATCAAGGCATTGATACAAAGACATCAAGTTCCAATCATGCTTCATAACATAAAAGTGAATTTACATCCTTGCATGTATAACCAAGCTATGTACAGACAAGAACCACTGTTGCAACAGTTCCTCCAATCTTATATGTTCCAACTGCATACTACTTGAAACAGATGGGAAATGCTGAGATTTTATGGAATCCCAACCTTTCCAAGCGAATTTTTTAACAATGAATAGAATAGATAAACACACATAGCTCATAGCTTACATTTCAAATTGGTCTCTCTTTTTCAGGGAAGTACGATTGGAGGAAAAAGCATCATATTAGTCAAATGGATGGAAACATGATAAATACCATGGTGATGTACCTTCACCAGAATTGGAATTTGAAGCACCACTCATCCAATTTAATTATAGAAAAACAAATGAAATAAGATCTTTTCAAGATAAAATGTGCAGTGACAGGCAATATATTTTAGAACTAGATGACCACCCCAACATATTTGGTTCATGAAATTGATAAATTTTACCTAAGAAAGTTGTTCTGTAGCCACTAGCCATATAAACCCAGATATGATAAAGTAGTACAAGAACACAGAGAAGTAACATTGGAATGTTAGAATAGTTCTCCATCGTGCAAAAGATTAAGGTGAACAAGAAACCAAGTCACAAAATTCATGAAACAGTTGATCATCAAATGCAAACAAGCAAATTCCAAATATCTACCTTTACTTCTGGGAGATTGATGAAACATTTATTTTCAAGAGTCCAGCTTTGACGATTTCCTTGAGGAAATGTCTGCTGATAAAGAAACAACACTCCCAAAACTGACGAGAGACAAAGCTCATGTCCTGCTCCATCCCAATTAACCTGCACAGCACAAATACTAAATGGATCAGTGACCACCTATTTAAGCTGCTACAATGTCAATAATAACAGACCAAGTCACAATCCCAGGAAGCACATCTAGGCCTATCAGTCACTCCTACCTCCAGGGAAATAATTAATCAAATAACAAGCTAAAAATATATCTTGGATTAAATTGATCAACAGGTGTCAAATGTACAATAAGAAGAGATTTTCTTTTGCCGTTCCCTGAACAAACTTGTATATAAGCCTCTATGAACTTTCAGTTTCTCCCAGTAATCCTCTATACCAACTAATTATCCCACATCATCAAAGTAAAGCATATAAACAAAAAAAGGTACACCGAGAAGAAGGAGAATAAAAAAGGAGAAAAAGACTTGTCAAGATTGTCCAAGAAAGATGGACAGGAATTCTTACCAGTTCTACAGCCTTATACAATCTTGTGGAACTAAAATCACTAGTTCCTCACTCCAAACTAAATACAAGTTTCTCTATGACAGTTTTTTGAACTTTCTGTACAAAAGAACCAAGCGAGAGAGAGACACACAGAGAACCAGTTTATACATTTCAATTCACAGAGAGAGTACGTTTTATAATTTGATTGTATATGCATGTTCTGAGCGTTCAAATGACTTCATTATTCTTTATAACTAAAGCATAAGGGTGTCACCTATTGATGCGAAAGCACACTTATAAATGTATATGCTGAGAACCCTTCTTTCATCTCTCCTGTACCTTCTTCCAAATATAGCATTCTCTACCCTCCTGCACCGTTAAGGTGGACCTCAGATCTGGTTTAAGGAGGACTCCTATGATGGATAAATATCTTTTCATCCATCCGCCAACGACAATATCAACCTTCCCAGTTCCTACCCTAGAGATGCAACCATTTCATCATTATTCCTCACTCAACATCAGACCTTCCCCCATATTACATGGAAGTACATCGGTACCATCGGAGATGCATTCTGAGAAGTTCTTTATTAGTTTTGAATCAGCTAGCTATTTCCTTGTATATTAAAAATAAAAAATCAGCCAACTTTTTGTCACCGATAAACCAGACCATATCATTTAAGCGAGTCTCAAGCCTTATTCTTTTCAAGTCAAATTTCATGTTTTTTACCCCCTCCCCCTGGGATTAAAGGCAGTTATGTATCAAAAACAAATACTATAGACAAGTCAGAGACATGATTCTAATTTTTCTACATGAATTGTTCATAATAAACAAGATAGAGAATTCTTTTAATTACTTTTTATGTTGCTGCTAGCACAGAGGTTAAAATACATTCGCTACCAACTGCACAACTTGACGACATCTAGAAGCACTCACCTCAATGGTCAAAGTTAATTATGTGACTCAGATTGGAATGACTTCTCCATACTTCCGCAGAACAACTTCTAGCAAAGAAAAGTAACGCTTCAGTCCCCCAGCTTCAACAAAATTTTCATATATTACCCCCGCCATGATAATGCAAAACAATACTTCAGTCCCTGCTGCTTCGAATAATTTCTCAAACATTACCCTTCTGTACAAGGCAATGGATGCCCATTTGGAAAGCAAAAGAGCAGATTCAGTTCATTGCCAGTGGCAGCTAATGGCAATGAAGTTTGACCCTTGATTATTGTCATATTCATCACTCTGAAAGCAGATACAGTTGCACTAACCAGCTGACTGTGCAAAGATTAGAAATGCCACCCTTTAGCACGCCAGTATGTCTGTGAATTTTGCTTTCCACGTGCAATTTTTATCTTTAGAAAAAGCCTGTATGCAATCTCTATTTTGTTTGAACCTAGTAACTTGTTGTTTAATTTGCTACAAATAAGCCTGCTAGGGTAAAATCCTTTCTCTAAAGCTTCCTCCATTACCAGGACAGCATTGTCAAGCTGCCCTATGTTGCAAAGCCCATTGATGACATACTCATAAACTTGCATATCAGAAGAATAACCACTTTCTTGCATCTCATTCCATATGTTTAACAGCATACCACATTTTCCAAACCTAGAAAGCCGCATAAGCAGCAACTTGTATGCAGTCAAGGATATCCTACATCCAGCTTGTCTCGCCTTCTTGTAAATCATTAGAGCTGCATGAGGTGGACCATAGCTACATAAAGGCTCAAGAAAAGAGGTTACATTCCCTGTAGTTACAATCATCCCCCGGCTTAACATTTCATCAAACATTTCAATTGCATCAGCTACTCTTCTAGCTTTCAGAAAAGCAGATATTAGTCTCATATAAGTATCAGCATTCGGCTCACATTCCGTATTTAACATCCTCTCGTAGTATTTACATGATTCATCAATTTCACCCTGTCCAATGAAATTCGAAATCATTGCATTGTATATCTCAGCATCAAATACACGCCCTTTTTCCTCCAAACCCTCAAAAATCTCAATGGCATCATCAATTCGACCAGCTCTCCCTAAACATTCAAGAACACAACTATAAGTCAAATTATCTGCCTCAAATCCATCATCCACCATTGCTTTTAAGGTTCTCTCGACTTCCTTAACTCTTCCAAATCTCGACCACCCACCAATGACTATGTTATAGGTTGTGACATCAAATGAAACTTTCTCTTTCATTTTCACAAGTAATGAACTCGCAGCACCTACATGTGATCGACGACACAAACACTGTAAAACAACATTAAGTGTCTCGGTATTACATCTCAATCCATAGTTCTCTAATCCACTAAACAATTGTATAGCCTTTGAAATTTGTCGAGCTCGAATAAAGCTATCAACAACAATGTTAAGTGTCACTGAATCAGGCATAACTCCTTGATTCCTCATTTCCTTTAACATTTCAACCATCTGCCCGAAAAACTTCCTCCTCCCTAATGCTTTAAGAATTATACAGTAAGTATCATTATCAATAGGTATTTTTTGTTGTTTGATAACCCAATTGAAAAATGTAGCTATTGATGCAGCATCTAAATTCCCTTTGTTTACTACTTTAGCAACTAAATCAACCGTTAATTCTACGTCAACAGATGTCAGTGCCTTCTCGATTGCTGTTTTTCCCTGAAGTTTCTGAAGAAAAATGCCGCGTAACTTATCTTCGGGAGTTAAAAGCTCATCGAAAACCCTAAATTGATTTTTTGGTTCAGAGGAATCTGCAGGAATGGGTTTTCCGATTGAAGAGGTTCGACGGATGGGTAAAAGGTCGGAAAGTTGATTCAGAACATGAGATTCGTCAAAATTAGTGGGGAATTTCTCAGATAGTGATGAAATTGAGTGAGTAAATGTAGAAATTAACAATGAAAGACTCGGAGAACTGCACCTGGAACTGAGAAATCTTGCCACAAGCATCGTAATTCCCTGTGAATTGGGGAATTAATTTTCCCCTTTGATTTGAAGACGACAATGTCACTGCTGCGTTGCACGACGTCGTATTAGTTCGACTACTCCTACTAACGACTAGGGATCAAAAATTATGAAAAACACATAACCTGACTGAATCGAACCAATTTATGTTAATTTTCAATAAAATTGTGGATTTTTATTTAAATGTAACCATCTCGAATAATTGGGACGATCTTTTTAATCAATGAAAAAAAAATTAAAAAATTTAAGCCGAACTGAATAACCTTACATGTAAATATATTTTATACAGTATATTATAATATGTTAAATTTATAAGAACAAAATTAAATGTTCATGCATGGCGAAAGAGAGCCTAAAGTTTTACAATCAAAGTAACAAGTGGTCTTAGGGTGCAATGGATGAGTCTTTCCTCCTTTAATTAATGATTTCGAGTTCGAGCCTAGGTAGTAGATGAAGCTCCACATCCACTGCATCAAAAGTCCTTGAGATCTCAGGTTTGACTTGGTAGAGAGCACTCGCCGCTCTCAATATTGGGACCTTACGCGGCACTAATCTAAATAATCAGACTCCAAATATAAGTATCAAACATCGAATGGAAAAAAAAATAAATTACAAGTGATCAGCCTTTAAAGTTGACTAGATTGTGGCGAGTCAGTGTATTATCACCAAAATTTGAGCCAAATTGGAAGGATAAGGGTTGGGCTTTATTTGTGCATGGGTATAATTGGATGGATCTCAACAAGAGTGGGCCTTGTTCAGAAGACCCAGTCAAATTTTACAAAAGGTCCATAGCAAGTCTGACTGTCCATGACATTTTGTCAATTTCTCGGTCCACTTTTAATTGTCATGATTTTTTTTTAGAGTCAAACTATAAGAGTTTTGACTAATATTTTACGATGTATTTTTTCATCGTATTGTTATGCAAAAAGTTACAATTTATAGTACTTTTCATATAGTTTTTCAATATCTAAAAATTTTGATTAAAATATTGAATTAATGTAATCTAATTTAACTTTTAAAATTAGTTTAAATTGACTTTCAAAAAGCGCAACATGACAATTAAGAGTGGACGGAGGGAGTATTAAGTTTGATCATGCGCAAAAGATTTTTCAGAATTAAGAATGGTTTAGTAACATACTACTCACTAGTATATATATTATTTCATGTGTGCCAATTTATATGATATAATTTGATTCGGCATAAAATTTAAGAAAAAAATTTCAAATATATGGTCTAAAATAAGTTATAAATAAGCATTTTAAAATTAAATTGTTACAAAAATATTAAAATAGATGAGTCATATATATTAAAACAAATAAAGTATTCACTTCGGTCCAATATTCAATTGTCATTTGTATTTTGTAAGATGACTCATATATTTTAATGATATGTTGATTTCGAAAATGATAATGAGTTAGGGACAAAACATTACAAAAATAAATAAAAAATCTTGCAAAATACCTTTTATGTCCATAAGCAAAGAAGTATAGAGTATTGAAGAAGAAACTGATGAGAGAACAATAATTAAAGTTGAAAAGGTCCAACCGAGCATGGCACAAGTGTAAGTTTGTGTTGGTATAACTTTTTTCAAATGAGGACAAAATAAAACACTTCACTCATGGAAATACATGTCATCTCTCCAAAATAACACCAAGAATATTCCACCTATGACTATATTATAAATTTTAATCCCTAAAATACGGCAAGAAAAGATATTGGATGATCAATTACCAAAACATCGAAATAGAAAGTGGGTAGCCAATTGATTTTTGTTTGATGATTCAAATGGACCCCTAAACCATTAAAATATATGTCATAATTCTACATTATGATTTATCACTATTGACTTATTTACATTATTTAAGTTTGATATTTTGGAAGTTTGATTAATTTAAATTCGCGTCATGTAAATTTTGTTAAAGAAAAAAAGCACCTTCACAAAGATTTTTACATTTTAGTTTGGACTCGAATTCAGACCCTCTAAGCAAAGACGGAGAGATCCTATAATGTATTCCACCACAATCTTTGGTGTCAACTATATTTTTATACAACTTCCAATTGGATAATGTTAACAATCAACAACTAGAACATGCAATTACTCTGGTAACGTTATTATTATCCATAAATCAGAAGAGAAGCATTTGAAATTAGAACTTTAGAATAATAATTTATTGGAGTAGAAGGTGGGATGAGTTGGTAACAATTGAGTCGGCAAATAAATAATTTGATTGCTCTATACTCAATTAATGACCAATAGAAGACGTCAACCAACATGATACTCTAACTTATTTGCTGTTTTCTTATTTTACCTATGACCTTTCTTTTCTGCGTGTTTTCAAATAAAATTACTCCCCATTTAAAAAAAAAATAATCTATTTTGATTTGCCATAGAATTTTAAAAAATAAATAAGATTTTTCAATAACCTAGAGAAATTCTAAAAAGGATTACTACGAAATTTGATCTTTTCCAAAAAATAACGAAAAATGTAGAACAAAATGCTATGTAATCTTTCATTGATCTGTTTTCTTTCCTTAGCCAAATCATCAATAATAATGTTGGCCACTCTATAGATATGTTCCAATTTACTTCCAAGTAACAATCATCAACAACTCTAGTATAATTATTTGTATTTACTAAATGTTTTATGGAGAAAAGAATACATAGCATGCTTGTCACTAAATTGAGTTCTTATAATATCAGTTTCGAAGGGAGCTTCGGAAGTTAGAACAATGGTGAAGCTGTCTCTTGTAATTTATAGGTTACGAATTTAAGTCATGAAAACAATCAATGATGCTTGCATCAAAATCAATGGTTTATATCACATCTTAAAAAGTATGACTTTTTAAAAAAAAATATTTATATGTTATCTAACAAACAATATGAAAGTGGAATGCTGTGGACAGTGGGAGTTCGAGGGTATCAGGGTGGCGGGGGTAATAGTGGGGGTCAGAGATATTGAGTGGGACGAGAAAATCAATATGAAATGTCAGTTATGCAATTTACTTTTTTTATTTTCATTAAAAAAATTAAAATTCAAAATATTTTTACTAACCAAATATAAAAAGCAAAAATATTTTTATCCTCACCAAACACACTAAGCTTAACAAAATAGTGGAAGGATAAAATTTCAAACTAAGTTTGACTAATTTCCAAACATAACGTACTTAATAAAATAAAATAAAAAGTTTCAAGTGAAAATGGATAACTTTGTTTTATCCTAAATATCCTTTTACTGACAAAAAGAAATAAAATATGTTCAAGCTCAATCTCCAATATTTAAAAAAGAGAAAAAGAAGAAAAAGTAAAGAATAGAGAGGGAGTAATCATGAGTGTCTCCTAATTCAACATCTAATCATTATTTTAACTTAAATTATAATATATTTAATTAAAATGATTAATATCAAATTAATTTACTAATTGAAAGCGTTGAAAAAGTCAAAGTAAATTTTCCCAAACAAAATCCACTACATGTGCTCTCAGTTGTTAGTGGCGTGAAAGAATAAAAACGAATTTGACATAATCTTTTCTTAAATCGAATAAATACGTCATTACGGTTTTTATTTCCTACATGACACTCTATATAAACATCTGTGCACACGAGTATCTGATTCTGCCACGTCATATGTTCTATCAATATCTAAGATGGATTCTTTTGTTCTTTAATAATTCTAAATATAGGAATTACTTTTGGATAAATTGTTGATTTTGAAGTTCATCTTTCATGCCCTGGTGGAAGTGTTTTTTAATAGATTTTTTTTTTAGTATTTTCAATAGCTTAATATTTGTTCTTTATGCTGGAAAGATGCATCTATGTCATTAATCATTTTTATTGTTACTTTAAAATACTAATGAAAATAGAAATCAGAAAGGAATTATAATTTGGAGAAGTGAATCCTTACTAACAAAGTAAAAACTTAAATAATCAATCAATTCATTTATTAAAATTCTTCAATGTTAATTGATTTCTTTGTTGTTATCGAGATCAATTGATTGGCTATGTAAAATCTTATTTATTTAATAAATATTTGATTTCTATATTGTAATCTCGAAATAAATAAAATAAAGAGACTATAAGGAAAAAAAAGATGAAGACTGTAGAAGAGTGTAAAATTCAACCACATATAAGAACCCCCACAGCATCTGGTGCTTCTCTTTCGTCTGAACAAAAACAAAGAAAATTTACTGAAAGCTCTGCTGCTGTAATGTTGTCAGATCAGTTTTTTTTCTTAAATTATACTTGCAACAGTTTCTTTTGATGACATGATTCACATTAATTCCTTTTCATATTTAAGCTGATACACCACAGCAGACCAGACCAACACCTCTGGTACGGAAGCTTCACTTTTTTTATTTAGGGGATTTGATTTATTCATAGTTTCATTCGCTTTTTATATTGTTGTACTAGTATTTATTTATGGAACTTGTTTTTTGTGATAATGAAAGCTCTAGAATTTTGGTAGCTCAGTGGGGTTTCTTTGTTTGACTTTTCTGAGTTAGAGTTGTACAAGGAAGAATTGCTCTATGTTTATTTTGACCCCTTTTGAGTTTCAGGGTATTTCTCACTTACTCTTTGTGTTTTGTGGATCTAGCGATAATGGGTATTTCTTGAATTTTGGTACAGGAGCTTTGAACTGTTGGAAAGATCAAAGCTTTTGAGGAGATTGGTCTTGTTTCAACCGAGATTTTAAGGGTTTTTGGGGAGATTACTGATGGGTTCTTCTTAGGTTGTATTTCAATTGTTGGATTGTAAAGCTGTGGAGTTTTTAGAGTTATGTTATGGATTTTGAATATATATTGTAAAAAATTGGAGTCTTGGGAGGAGTAGGGTTGCCCAAATTATTTGTGGGTACTTACTTCTGAGAATCTTTGAAAATGGAAGGAGAAATGGTTTGTGGTGATGGGTTGTTGGTGAATATAGCAAATGAAGTGAAATTAGAAGAAGATGAAGAAGATTTTTGTAGCTGCTGTGAAGATGAGGAGGAATTGGAAGATAGTGTGGATGAAACTTCGGAGGAAGAAGA